GTTGTTTAATGGGAACTATCTTGCAGTAACACAACTTAGAAGCCACCTGGCTCCCTTTATGGGCTATTAAGTCTTTAAATTATGGCTTTATAATTCCATGGGCTAGAACGGCTAAGCAGCTTAATGATTTTAAACATGATGTCATATTTGACAGAGCAAGTAAAGCCTCTCCAAATCACTGACTTTCTATGTTTAATAGATCATATATAGCCACTGCCTTTTCATTTCCAACAGTGGAGTGGGTCATGAGGAAAGCTATACTATCATTTTTTAGAGAAAAAAAATTGAAAAGCAAATTAAAAAAATCTAACTATTTTCTACTTTGGTTTATTTCTAAACAGATAATAAAGTACCCCACCACCCCAAAAGAACCTTCCTTAATTTAGTTGTCAAGATTGGTCATAGGTCTGCTTTATCCACAGTGTTACTGCTCTTGACACCATGTGAGAGCCTGATGCCAAGTAGAGAGGGATGGGAGAAAACACTCAACATGGGCATGATGAAATAGCCTCCATGGCCCTCTGGCTCAGCACCATTCAATGACCCCAAGTCATCTAATATAATGGCAGAAGGAAAAAACTGACTCCTAAAGATTAAACAAATAAGTAAGAGGAAACTCTAAACAGTTCTGTTCAAAATAATCAGGGTTTACAATTACTTGGGGGTCAGAGAATGCAAGACCCTTTAGTTCTGCAAGTCATCCGAAATACAAAGCCAAACTTTTGTTAACAAGTGATGTGTATGTTAGACCTATGGGGTAGTGCATTCTCCCAGACTCAGAGATCATCCTGTGCATGCTCATTCTGTTTCAGGGCTTACATGCAGAACTCACGCTGACCTTTGGGGGAAAGTAAGGACAACCTGTTAAGTGGAGGCACAATAATCTAAAAACAAAAATTAATGCTCAGACAGACCTCTTTCTTTGCAGCTGAGGCTGAAGGCAGGCATACTTTGCCAGTAAGATTCTTCCCTGAGTTGGAGGGATCCGTTTGTGTTATTAGAGGATAATGGCTGCTACAATCCTTCCTTAATATTTACTTCTAGAAAGTCCCAACAGGTGGGTCATTTAGTAGTAATATTTTTGTGGGCTATCCAAGTCACTTATTAAAATAGCTGACTTAAGATCAAATTTATCTCATAGGAAAATTTTGGTTACCACTTTGTGAAAAGCCACAAAATCTATCTGGAACATTTTATTTTATTTTTCCTTCTTGGGATGAAGATGTTTATTTATTTGTTTATTTGATTTCAGAGAGAGGGAGAGGGAGAGATAGAAACATCAATAATGAGAGAGTCATTGATTGGCTGCCTCCTACACACCCCCTACTGGGGATAGAGCCTGTAACCTGGGCATGTGCCCTGACTGGGAATCGAACCCTGAACTCCTGGATCCTTAGGTCAATGCTCAACCGCTGAGCCACACTGGCTGGGATATTTGGAGTATTTTAATGTCAAAGTCCAGTCCAAGGGTAAATCAGACACCTGTCACTTCTCTCTGCCACTGACATGTTGGGTAGGTTTGGAAGATTAAATCAAGTATCCTCTTATAACCACACACCATACCTGATAGGGACTCCTGTTCTAAGAGCAAAGTAAAGACCAGGTTAGTGTGGTTACTTCTACCACATCACTGTTTGTTTATATTTGCTTTACTCAAAGAATGACTTCATTCAATAAAGTAAAAGGGTTCCCAAATAAGGCAGGAAGATTACGTAATAATAAAATGTTACTTAATGTTAATTTCCATATACTAGACAATGTTATCTTATTTCATATCCACAATACCTAGAGTCAGGTACTATTACGCCTGTTTCACAGACGAGGAAACTGATGCATACCGTAACTATCAAGACTGAGCAGCAAGAACTGGCCTGGGGTCTAGTCCTCGTTCTGCTAAAACCAACTCTGAAAAGCACATGTAAACAACTTTATTCCTCTGGGCCTAGTTTATCTGTGAAATGAGGGAGCTATAGCTATAGTCTAAGGTTTCTTCTAACATCAGAAGCATGACAGATAAAAGTTAGCCCTCCTCTGGCTGAAGGATGGAATGGGGTAATTTAAACCAATATGGTGGTACTGGAGATATACAAGAGTAACAGATGGACAGGGATAAATTAAAATTTTATCGTCTAAAATACTGTTTAAAACTACTTAATGGGTCTCACTTTTAGTTTTACTTAAACACTTTAACTGTCTCTGAAATTTTAGTGCCTTCAAGAAAGTAAAGGTAACTAACATCACAGAATCTTTCTAAATCCATCCTAACATCCCTTTGTGCTTTGCAGAAAATAACATGAAACTAATCCCTGCTCCCCCAAAGTACCCTCCCTCCTTCTGATACCTTTGTCAAAGGAAGGAATGCTATTAGATACACACGTGCCTACATATCTCTGGTGTGACCTGAGAGTAAGCCTCATAAGAACGCAGCCCAGCAGATGATACATTTCTTAATTCTAGCTGCAGACACCCTTTTTCTTCTGCTCTACTAACAACAAAGACCATCTTTCAATAATTCCAGTACGAGAATAAAGAAGATAAAGGAACTCTGGAGACGGAATGTAAGACAAATGTAAAAATGCCTCTATGGCAGGGATTGATAAAAACAAAAGGCCCTCTAACATTCCCCCTCCTGCTGAACTCCCAGATGTCATCCTCTCTCTCCAAATTTCCCCCCATGCCTATGTGAAAGAACAAACAGCTGGGCCTAATCATTAAACGTACTCTAGTTAACAATGGAAAGAAAAACTCCTTTCTTCAACAGTTCTCTGCTATTGCCTTTCCCCAAACTCTTTTCCTCAGGGTCATGTTTTATCCTGACAAAATGAGTCAAAAAATGATGGGAGGGGAGTTCGTATTATTTTCTCCCTAAAAAAAGTGGGCACCATGATTCTTACCAAGTATAGACAGGTAACTGGACACCACAAACAAAAGCCACAATGAATAATGAGGGCTGTTCTGAACTTTAGTCCTTTCTTCCACCATTGACAATGCTATGGTCTTCCTCATTCAACACCTAATGTGGAGTTTAATCTCACCCCTTTTGGGATAGCTCAGGGTCATCTCTGTCTTCCAAACATCATCTCTGAAGAGGGAGACTGGAGAAAAGTCCTGTCTGAAATATGATGAACATGACTCGCTCTGGATATACTGATCAGTAGCTAACTGGGCAGGGACTGACTAAGGGGGTGTCTGATACCAGCTAACTGATAGGGAGTAGACAGACATGGGGAGCAAGGGAAAGCAAGCCTCAATGCGTGTGCCTGAGATCACCCACCAACACTGTTCATTGAGGGGCATGCCTTGCACCTTCTCTCTAGAAGAAAAATTTGCCCCTTTCCACAGTGGATCTCTGCTC